AAATATTTAAAGATTTTTAGGGCTATCTAGACACAAATGTTGCATTATATCTTAAACAAATCAGAGGCTCTGAATGTAGTGGCATACATCTGTCATCTGCACTACACAGGAGACTGAGATCAGGAGGATCAAAGTTCCGGGCAGAAAAGGTGGCAAGATTCCAGCTTAATGGAAGAAACTGGGTGTGATGGTATGTGCCTGTCGTCCCAAAAGTGGTGGAATGTATAAAATGGGAGGATGGTTGTTCAGGCATGAACCTCAGCACAAAACAAGACCCTATCCCAAAACAACCAGTCCAAAAGAGGCCTGGAGGCATGCCTCAAAGGCAGAGTGTCTGCTTAATAGTAGAGAGTACAAGGCCCTGATTTCAAACCCCAATGCCACACAAAAAAAGAGGAGGACAAGGAAGGAATCTGTATGATTAAGAATATAACAAACGCCGGGCACTGGTGGCTCACGCCTGTAATCCTAGCTACTCAGGAGGCTGAGATCTGAGGATCGCGGTTCAAAGCCAGCCCGGGCAGAAGAGACCGTGAGACTCCTATCTCCAATAAACCACCAGAAAACCGGAAGTGGCGCTGTAGCTCAAGTGGTAGAGCGGTCGCCTTGAGCTGAATAGCTGAGGGACAGCGCCCAGGCCCAGAGTTCAAGCCCCACGACTGACAAAAAAAAAAAAAAGAATATAACAAAATTCACTGTAAAATCTAGATCTTAGCCAGGCTCTGGTGGCCTGTTTGTAACCCTAGCTACTCATGAGGCTGAGATATGAAGATTATAATTTAAAGCCAGCCCCGGCAGGAAAGTCTGTGAGACTCTAGAAAACTAGTAGTAAAGCTACAGTGAATGCCTAGGCCCTGAGTTCAAGCCCCATGACCAACGAAAAATAAGTAAATAAATAAAAGAAAAAACTTAGGTCTTGTTTATGGCATAAAGGAATCAGGGAGAACTTGGAGCTACTTTTCTTTAGCAACTGGATGGATCACTGGCAGCTGCTATTAGAAAGATAAAGAAACCCACATCTGCTTAGAGTATATATGCTATATGAATCCCTTGTGCAAGTATAAATTCTTGAAGAGGCCCCAGACAAACAAGTAAGGCTATCTGTTTTCCATAGCTACCTCCATATGCTGTATCAAGAAACCAGATCTAGCTGTACACAACATCTTCAATATAATAAGGATGCAATAAATATTTCTGAGTAAAGGACTGGGAAAGACAGAGTCTGGATAAATAGTACTAATTCGCCTATACAGTCATGATATATGGGTGTTTATGTAGAGACCAACGGAATAGTTGAGGAACTAGTTTACTCTCTTTCACTTAGTGTATTTACTTCATAAAGGAAACAATGCTATTTCAGTATATTAGATACTGTTTATATAATAGTGAGACAGAAGTGGACAATCTCTAGAGCTATTTATAAAAAAAAGCACATTATTTGCGTATTAGTAAATGTGAGTTTTGTTTGAGGCTTTACAATTAACCCCCTGCAAGTTAGTTTATAAAATAAGCAGAATAATATGGCAGTGCCGATTTGTTTGGAGAGTTGAAATGACAAATTGCTCTGTAGCTTGGTGCAGGTGGATTAAGCCTGTAATCCTAGCTAATCAGGAGACTGAGATCTGAAGATTGAAGTTTGAACCAACGCAGGCAGGCAAGTCCACGAGAATCTTATCTCCAATTAACCAGTGAAAAGTCAGAAGTGGACCTGTGACTCAAGTGGTAAGAGTACCTGCCTTGAGCAAAAATGCTAAGGCTTAGTGCCCACCATTGAGTTCAAGCCCCAGTACTGGAATACTGGGGCTTACATAAAAATAATATATCACTTAAAAATGCTAATGATCATAGCATTCAGTGAGTATTAATCCTTTTGCTTCAATGTTAAACGTTACCAACTGATTGGGGAGGTAGTTGCTGATGGTTGGGGTGAATGTGGCAATTTCTTAAAATAAGACAGTGATGAAATTTGTCACATTGGTTGGGGGGTTTCCTTTACGAAAGATTCCTCTGTACCTTGTAATGCTGTGTGATAGTATTTTACCCCCAATAAAGAAGTTCTATCAAAATTTCAGTCAACTATCTCAAAGTCAAACCTCTCAAAATCTAGTGCTGTTTTATCAACAGGATTTATATAACACTCTAAATCTTTAGTTGTAATTTCAGCAATTATGGTTGTAGTGCCAGAGGCCATGTCAAGAAACTTCCTTCTCTCAACCTTCTCATTGTCAAAGGTCTATCTGGAGACTGTACCCATCACATCTTCAGGCTCCACTCTTAACTCTAGTTCTCTTGCACCCCATCTGCAGTGACTAACTCCACTGAAGTCTTAAACCTCTCAAAGTCATCCAGAAAATTTGGGATTGACTTCTTTCAAACTCCTGTTCATGTTGATGTTTTAACCTCTTCTCAACATTCTAGATGCTATGAAGGTTCTTAACAACATCTAGAATACTGAAGCCTTTCCAGAAGGTTCTTATTCACTTTGCCCAGGTTCATCAGAGGACGTACAGCAATTATAGCTTACGCAATGTATTTGTTCCTCCCTGCTCAATGGACTTCAGGATGGGTTCTGGGTCAGCAGGCATGAAAACAACATGGAGCTCTTTGTACGAGGCCATCAGAGCTCTGGGGTAAGCAAGTGCACTGTCACTGAGCAGCAGTTATGTTGAAAGGTACCTTTTAGTCTGTGTAGTAGGTCTCAACAGTGACTAAAGAGCCTCAGGAACTGCCCTGCAGACAGATGAGCCATCATCTGGGCTTTGTTGTTGCACTGCTCCAGCACAGCAGAGTAGATTTAGGGAAATTCTTTTTTTTTTTATTGTGGGGTCTAAACTCTGGGCCCGGGCTCTGTCCCTCAGCTCTTCAGCTCAAGGCGAGCACTCTACCACTTGAGGCACAGTGCCACTTCCAGCTTTTTCTGCTTATGTGGTGCTGAGGAATCGAACCCAGGGCTTCATGCATGCAAGGCAACCACTCTACCACTGAGCCACCTTCCCAGCCCTTAGCGTGATTCTTTTTTTTTTTTTTGGGTCCGGTCATGGGGCCTGAACTCTGGGCCTGGGCACTGTCCCTCAGCTCTTCAGCTCAAGGCTAGCGCTCTACCACTTGAACCACAGCGACACTTCCGGCTTTTTTCTTTTTTCTTATGTGGTGCTGAGGAATCGAACCCAGGGCCTCATGCATGCAAGGCAAGCGCTCTACCACTGAGCCACCTTCCCAGCCCCCCTTAGGGTGATTCTTAAGGGCCCTTTGACTCTCCAGATGATAAATGACTCCTGGCCTACCAAGAAGCAGCCTGTCCTTCAAAGCTCTGAAACCAGGCCCTGACTTCTCTTCTCTAGTCCTAGATGTCATAGATGCCATCTTCTAAAGGCATAGACGACATCTTCCTTCAGTAGAAGGATATGTCATCCATTCTGTGAACCTGTTGTTTAGGAGGCTGCATTCTGTTAGCTTGGGTACATTCTTGGGATGACCTGCTGAATCAGCACTGCCTGAATCATCTTGCCATGTTAATTAACTTCTGTGTTACAAAGATGGCTCCTTTCCTTAAGTTTCATGAGCCAACATCTCCTAGCTTCAAGGGTTTCTTCTGCAACTTCTCTCAACGTATGTAGAACTGAAGAGAGTTGCAAGGGGCAGAGGTCTTGCTCTGGGTTAGCTTTGCCTTTAAGGGGATGTTGTGGCTAATCCTTTATGCAAACTACTTTAATTTGCCCTACCAACAATTAATCAATTAGGCCATTTCTCTTTGTTTCCTTCCCTCTCATCCTTCCTTCCTTCCTTTTCTTCCTTCCTTCTTTAATTCTTTCCTTACCTCCCTCCCTCTCTCTTTGGTGTTTTGAGATAGGGTCTTACTATGTAGCCTAGGCTGACCGGGAACTTGCTATACAACCCAGGATTACAGGCATGTGCCACCATGCCTGTCTTGGCAGTTTGTCTTTCTTATCATTTGTGCATTCACCGGAGTAGCACTTTTAATTTCCTTCAAGAACCTTTCCTTTGCATTCACAATTGGCTGTTTGTGCAAGAAGCCTAGCTTCTGGCCAATCTCAAGTTTTGACATGCCTTCCTCACTAAGTTTAAATATTTCTGGGTTTGGATTTCAAGTAACAGACTGACATGCTACTCTTCCTTTTACTTCCACACTTAAGATGCCTTTGTAGGGTTATTAGTTGATCTAATTACAAGGTGCTGTATCTCAGAGAACAGGGAGTTCTAAGGAGAGGGAGACAGAAAAATGGCTAAGTGTGCAGCAGTCAGAACACATACTTCAATTATTCATGAAAAATGGCTTATATGGACAGAGTTCCTAGAACCCCAAAACAATTACAATACCAGTACCATCAAAGACCACAGTTCACAGATCACTATAACAAAGATAATAATAGTGATATAGTTTGAAATATTGTCAGAATTACTACAATGTGACACAGAGATATGCTACTGGAAAAATGGTCTGTTATACTTGTTTGATTCAAAGTTGCCACATATCCTGAATTTGTCAAAATACAAATATATACAGAGCAATAAAGTAAAATGCTATAAAATAGGGTATATCTGTATTCACATTATTCCTTGAATTTACTGCACTGTATTTTAATATCTGCCAAGATCTAGAGCCAAGCTGCAGGGTATTAATCTGGGCCAAGCATTTGCTATGTAACCTTCCAAGTTACTTAACTCTCTGATCCTCACTTTCATTATTTACAAAATGGAGATTACAGTGCCTACCAGGGAACATTATTGTGAAGATTAAATTATTATTATACCTAAAGTGCACAGAGCTATATTTAGTTCTTAATAGGTATCATTAGTGTGGAGGTGGTGATAATAACATTTCTGACACAAAACACATATCTCTTCAAAAGTAATCCAAAAGCCTCGAACAGTTTTCATTCAAATGGTATTTATAGGGAAATAAGAATGACAAAAGTTAGGAAGAAAAGGGAGGAAGGGCAGCAGGAAGGGAGGGGGAGAGAGGGAAGGATATGGCTTACCCCCATTTTTGCCCACGGTTCGAAAGCATCTCCAGAAGGCACGTAGAAATGACGCCCTGTTGTGAGGGGTTGCTTGGATGAAGCTGAATTCTCGAAAGAGAATGTGAGTTCCTTGACATACACTATTAAAACTGCAGAGAGAAACATTAACAGATTATCATTAGAAAGAGGCTAGAATCAGAATGAAAGTTCAAAATCAGATAAAGGCTGGGAACTGGTGGCTCATGCCTGTAATCCTAGCTACTTAAGAGGCTGAGATTTGAGTATCATGGTTAGAGGCCAGCCTGGGCAGGAAAAGTCCTTGAGACTTTTATTTCCAATTAAGTGCACATGCACAGGCACACACATATACACACAAAATAGCTGGAAGTGGAGTTGTGGCTCAAGTGGTAGAGTGCTAGACTTGAGCACAAAAGCCCAGGAATAGCACCCAGGACTATTTAACACATATATAAAAACAAAAACAAAAACAGATGGAGGCACTGTCACTGCCAAAGAGGGAAAGAAGGGTGTCTGTGATCTTCCCCTACAAAACTCTGAATTAGAGTAAGACCTTCTCTTCATATATAACCATGTCCCTCTGAAACTCATGGCAGTCCAATTCCTTGATGTCCCCTCCTGCCCCCTCCCTCTTCCCCCACCTCCACATTATACCTAGAAGAAGTTTGAAACCATCCCTAAAGCATATCCAAAAAAGGGGGGTAATTTTCAGACTTTACTTGGATAACACTAGTACTCATGTCTTTTTGGATAACACTAGTACTCATGTCCTCTGCTCCATTATGAATTATGCTTTTCCCCAAAAATATTTTTTCTGCATTATCCCAGCATATCCTAGCTGCTGTAAAGATGACGTAGTGGATGTGACTGAATTGCCTGTTCCCTCTGAGGGATAGTGCCCAACTAAAATCAGAGACAAACCCTATGTGTCAAGGATATAGAAAATTCTAAACAGAACACAAAAGGCAAACAAGATGAACAGGGTAGAAAGTGGCCCCTAAATGAGAGTAGGAAGCAAATCCCCAGGGCCCAAGTGACTCATTGTTTAAACTGGGCCAGAGAAGAGAAAAAATATATACTCCATTGCCTTTGGGTTCTTCTGCCAAAGAAATCTAGGCTGTAGAGCCTGGTGTAATCTAAAAATGGAAATTCCACAGGAGAATAGGCAATTATCCAGTAATCATCCGTACCAAGGGCAGACTGCAGGTTCCAGAAAACTCCTAAAATCCCTGACAAGTAAATCATGAGTGGAAAACAAGTTAATCATTGTGGAGAAACAGAAATTAAGATGAAGATGGCAAGCAATAGAGGGAACAGTGGTAATTCCAAATGCCACTTTTCATTTGTGGACCATTTAAAGAAGGTGGAAAGGGAGAGCTGAATGTGAACTAAATGGGAAAACAAATTCAGGAGCCATCTATCCTAATGCCTTTTTCACAAGCGGGGGAGGGGGGGAGGTTGAGTGCACTGTCTTTATACGTAATATATGTAATAAGTAATCACTTAGGATAAAACCAGCCTTCCTGTAAATTAACAGCACTGTAATGAAAAAGCAAATCACATACTTTTGTTTTCTCAAAGTACATTAGCATAGAAATCTACTTTGTGTGTGTGTGTGTGTGTGTGTGTGTGTGTGTGTGTGTGTGTGTGTGTATGTGTGTGAAAATACTGTACAGAGGGGTTACAATTACATGGGTAAGATAATGAGCACATTTCTTATCAAGCATTGTAGCCTCCTCCTTTGTTTCCCCTTCCCATCCCTTCTTATCTCCCCCCCACCAAAGTTGTAAAGTTCGTTTTAGAAATCTACTTTTAAGACACTGAGGAAGACTAAGAATTGTGGCAAAGGATTATGCTAGAAGATGTTTATAAAAGTTTCTGAAAGGGCTAACCTACCCATGCAGTTTAGGGCAATGTGATTGTTGCCTTATGCAAGGAAAATGAAAACTACAGCAAATGAGCTGTGGCAGGTAAATGGGACAGACTACATTTCCAGCAAATGAAGTCTACAATGACAACATTAGAAACTAAATTTATGAAGGTATCTGGCCAAGATAGTATGCTTCATACCCCAGGGGTAAAAAAGCTGGTGTCTAGGTCATAGTCTACATGGTAAAGGAACTAATAGTGAAGTTATAACCTTAGTTTAGCCTTTAAACATGATCTCAAATGCCATATTTTGCATAGCCTTTTCCCAATTCTATCCCCAATGTCAAATTTCATCATATCTCACTTCTAAGACTCTAATAATACTCTCAGTTTGGTGCAGTCATTATAGCCAATGTACATTATGTAAAAAATGAACTGCATAACTTGAGAGTAGGGACAGGAGGGAATAATCAAGGGAGAATGATGGAAAGGGTGACACTGACCAAGAAGCATTGTATTCATAATCTGATTTACACAACTGTAACCTCTTTGTACAACTACTTAACAATAATATTTTAAAAAATAAAAATTACTGGGTGCCACCAGCCTAGCGGTTTTTCTTTTAAAAAATTTATTTTTCAGCCAGGCGCCGGTGGCTCATGCCTACAACCCTAGCTACTCAGGAGGCTGAGATATGAGGATCGCGGTTCAAAGCCAGCCCTGGCAGGAAAGTCTGTGAAACTCTTATCTCCAATAAATCACCAGAAAACCGTAAGTGGTGCTGTAGCACAAGTGGTAGAGTGCTCACCTTGAGCTGAAGGGAGAGCGCTCAAGCCCAAAGTTCAAGCCCCATGACCAACAAAAAAAAAAAAATTATTTTTGGAGCTAGGTACTGGTGGCTCACACCTGTAATCCTAGCTACTCAAGAGACTGATATCTGAGGATCGAGGTTCGAAGTGAGCCTGGACAGGAAAGCCCAGGAGACTCCTATCTCCAATTAACTACCAAAAAGCCAGAAGTAGAACTGTAGCTCAAGTGGCAGAGTGCTGGCACTCAGGCTCTGAGTTCAAGACCCAGGACTGGCACACACACACACACACACACACACACACACACACACACACACACACACACACACACTCCCCAAACAAACAAACAAAAACAACCAAATTTACCTATTTTACTTCGTACCAGTAGAATGGCTTATTTTACTAAGGATATTTTAGGGTCCACATCTTGTAATGTATATTAAATTTTTTTCAAGGATTGATAATATTCCATTGTAAGAACATACTACATTTTGTTTATTCATTTATTTGTTGATATATAAACGGGATACTTCTGCCTTTTGGATACTGTGAATAGTGCTGCTCCATTGATGCATAAGCATCTCTTCTGGTCTCTGTTTTCCTTTTTTTTCTTCCTTTTCCTATATTCCTAGAAATGCAGCTGCCAGGTCATGTGGTAGTTCCATGCTTATCCTTTTAGGAAATCACCAGCCAGGTGATGGTAGTTCACTCCTGTAATCCTAGCTACTAAGGAGGCTGAGATCTGAGGATCATGGTTCAAAGCCAGCCCAGGCAGGAAAGTCCATAAGACTTATCTCCAATAAACCACCAGAAAACCGGAAGTGGTGCTGTGGCTCAAGCAGTAAAGCGTTAGCCTTGAGCTGGAGACAGTACCCAGGCCCAGAGTTCAAGCCCTACAACCAAAAAAACAAAGGAAGGAAGGGAGGGAGGGAGGGAGGGAGGGAGGGAGGGAGGGAGGGGAGAGAGAGAGAGGAGGGAAGGAGGGAGGGAGGAAGGGAGGGAGGGAAAGAAAGAAAGAAAGAGAAAGAAAGAAAAAGAAAGAAAGAAGGAAGGAAGGAAGGAAGGAAGGAAGGAAGGAAGGAAGGAAGGAAGGAAGGAAGGAAGGAAGGAAGGAAGAACCAAACTCATTTCCAGAGCGGCTTTACGATTTTACTTTCTCATGAACAATGCATGAGGGCCCCAATTTCTCCAAATCATCACAAGGTACTATGAGAAATTTATACATAAAAGTTTAATGTAGCACTTCTAAGAACTCTTACTTCTCTACTACACTATTGTTACCTATCTTTTTTGTTGTTGTTGTTGCTCAAACTACAATACACTTACTATGGGAAAAAGTGGGCAATATGATCCTGTATCCAAAGAGAAATTTTACAAAGTGAGATCATAATATATGAGCTTCTGTCCACTGATACACATCAGGTGAACTGTGAAGTGTTAATGGCAAGTTCTCTGTTGGCCATAAAGAAATAGGTAACAGTGGTTTTGAAAATAGAGTCCATTCTACAGTGAACATTCAGAATCATCTTCTTTTCCTCTTTATGAGTACTGGCTTAATTACAGTAAATATTTAAGATCTTTGTCATCTTAAAAAAATACCCCCAGATTTAGGAAGACATCCAACAGGGCCTTAATAGTCTTTACTCTCTATCAAGGAATAGGTAAACCAATTGGTGAGAACTTAGCTGCTACTGTGGTAGACAGGATTTGCAATTTCTGCACCAGCAAAAAATAAATAAATAAAATCCCAAATCAGCTATCAGTTTACTCTCATATTAGCCTCATACACTGATGCTTCATGCAAGAGTTTTTTTCCTGACTATATAATCACTGGTTTTCAAACTGGCTAGTTTTCAAACCAGGACATCGGTGGAATCAGATTTCATGGCATTATGAAGAGAACTCATGAGATAGCTAGCTGCTTGCATCCTGACAGTATGGAAGTTGCAAAGTACCGAGAACAGTGCTACTTCTTTCCTCAGTCACTTTACCAAGTACTTTACTGCCGCCAGCCCAGAAAGACTTCCTAAAATAGAAATGGAATAGTCTCGTCCCAAGCTGAGCTGTTGCTAAGGGCAGAGGTGAATGTTTCCAGACAAGTTGATCACCAAGCAAATTATGCTCAAGAAGGTTGGAAAAGAGACCCAATGCTGCTTCTCTGAAAGTAAATTTCCCAATTAAGTCTTTGTTTATAATTTCGTCAAAACTCTTCTACAGCATACAATGGATTCAAACACCTTCTGAAGCCCACAAACTTCAAAGTTATTGCTGAAAAGCCTGGCAGGCAATGGTAACCTCTCAGTGGCTCCGTACCCACTGAGAACAGTAGAGAAGTAAGGTGATTCAGTACCATTCTTCTTACAAGGCTGATTTACTAAAGCCAGTAGATGGGGGAAAGCTGCACTTCAGGGTGAGGAATGAAAGCACAAAGCACTGGGAAAGGGTGGCTGCAT